GACAGCAGCACTGGGGGGGGGTGGGGTGAGGAGCCTCTCTCCCTGCCTCTTCCTGCTTGTGGCAGCTCTGGGGCTGGGGCCAGGGTGTCTCTCCCTACCACAGCCCTGAAAACACACAGCCCTTGATAGGATGCTGCACAGCCATGCGGGTGCAGCTTAGAGGGGACGTAACACACTCACAATACAAAATGTTCCAGCATCCCTACTTCCCTCAATCCAGCTATGGGAGAGTCTTTATGCTCGGTCGCCTCTCCCTGACTGGGTACATCTGAATTTGAGCTGGGCGGTGAGATTCCCTGCATGTGTGGGCATACCCACACTAACATTGCTTAAGCACACGTATTAACAATAGCAATGTAGCCAGGGCAGCAGGACTGCAGTTTGTGCTAGCAGCCACCTAAGTGCATACCTAGGGGATCCAGGCAGCTATGTACTTGGGCGACTAGCATGAGCCACTGCTCATGCTACCCTGGCTAGTGGCTACACTGCTGTTTTTAGCAAGCTAGCGCGGGTACATCTGTGCAAGCTGGGAATCATGTCATCCAGCTCAAATGTAGATATAGCTATTGTTTTCCAGCTTAGCATTGGAGGAATCCAGGCAGGAATTTCTGTAGGGGGGTGTGAGCTATGGGAGGGGCTGGTGACTGCCCCCGCCCACAGCCCACCTCCCAGATCCCAGCCCTGCCCTCCCCTCAGCTTTGTTCCTGGGCGAGGAAGGGGGGAAATCAGCCCCAAGCTTCCCCAGCTGGCCAGAGCACAGGGGAGGCAGGCTGAGGCGGCGCGCCTCCCTGCTTTCCTCCGGTCGGCCAGAGCATGGAGGAGGGAGGCTGGGGCAATGCACCTCCCTGTTTTCCTTAGGTCAGCCAGAATCGGCCCCATGGCAAACCACGAGGACCGTAGGAGGAGTGTATTCACACCTTTCATATACCCACACCTCCCGTGTACAGGCCTGGAATCAGTATCTCCCTCAGGACCTGAGGCGTGCTGTCTTCCACCTTATCCTTCCTCCCTTTTTTCAGATCATGCCTGGACAAATTCCATACATAGTGCTTGGAACCACCAGCACACAACTGAGAGACAAGCATATCACAGTCCATATCTGGTTGAGGTATGTAACAATTGTAGCTGTGATCTTCTAGGTTGTGTGTGGGGCTCTCACTCTAGAGTCCTGAGTTGTAGCCCCACTCTGACATTTAGGGTGTGTCTACACTGCACAGTACCTCAAAATAAGATACACAATTTGAGCTACGCAAATTACATATCTTATTTCAATCTCATTTCAGAATAGCTTATTTCGTCATTTGGTGTTGTCTACACAGCGCCAAGTTTCAAAATAACCCACTATTCTGAAACGTCCCTTACTCCTTATGGAATGAGGTTTACAGGGATGTCGGAATAGCAAGCCTAAAATAAAGGGCTTGCTGTGTGAAGACACAGGTTAGCTATTTTGGGATACACTGGTATCACAAAATAGTGTAGCAGTGTAAACATAGCCTTACTTATTCTGGACAATTCACTAGCCTATCTGGTAAATGGAGATATTAATGCTTGCTCACCTTCATAAGGTGCTGTGAGATGCCTGGAACAAACAAGCTAGACAGGTGCAAACAAAGGACTCGCTCATTCCCCATCTGCACATGTAGATTAGTTTCTCTGATGCCCTGCTCATGCCTGGCATGCCCCAGGAAATTCCTGCAGGAGCAGGACGTAGCCCCAGGCTCTTGTGTGGTGCTTTCTTTTAAGAAGGAATATGTTGTTCAGTAGTTAGCTGTCTGGCTGCTGGCTGAGGCGCTGGCTCTTTGCTCTAGATACTTTTACAGACTCCAGTTCTAAGACTGGGCAGACAAGCTCAGCACTTACCTTATTCTGATATGTCCAATATAAGTAAAAGCCTTTTGGCTCCACCCGGAGAATTACAGGAGAAGCATTCGTTGTGTCCTGGCAAAACCAGGAGAAAAAGGGTTATGTTCTGGAAAATCTGTAAGGAGATGTAAGACCGCCTACAGCCCATGCTTGGCAAATCAGCTTCAGGCAATTCTGTGGTCTGTGTAAAGCTGTTAGCTGGTTGAGTTAGCTGCAGCCAGAGCCAAAGGGTACAGAGGCTAATCTCCCCAGGGTCAGCACCTTCCATGAGCACTAAATGCTGCAATGACCATCTGTCTGTCATGCTCTCCCTCTTCTCATTCCCCTCCCTCCTTTCAGGTCCATGCTCTGTCCTGTTCCTCAACAGGCAGAAAGCTCATGTAGAGACATGTATCTACTCATCTTCCCATTGTTCTCAGTTTGTTCCCTGAGTTCACTGCTGGGAGAGCATTCTGCACGTTGACATTGCAAATGAGGATCCAACTGGCCAGGTTTCTAGATTTCTCATTCTGTCCCACAAAACCAAGCAAGATCATCAGTGTGGCAAAGTTCAAAGGGACCTCATTCTCCTCTGCCCGCATGAGGAACAGATCCCTGCTATCTACACCTGCATCAAATAGGGTTTATTAGGTCAATGTTAGTGCATCCAACGTTGTGAGATCTTAGATGTGAAGAACTCTTGTTTAGTTATGAAGAACTCTTGCTGAGAATTGGTACAAACTATAGTCACCCCTGCCTCTATCTCCTCCTTTTCTTAACAGGATAAGCTTCTCCCCATTGGCTATAGGCCCACATGAAGAAAAAGACGGAACATACACATCTTAAAACACATAAATCAAAGTTAGCGTATAACAGACTGCAGGAGGGAGTAAATTCCAGACATGAGGGTCTTCCACCAGAATGTACTTCTGCCTAAGCTCTGGAGTTCAACCCCAGGGACAGAACACAAGAGTTGTCTTGTAGAACACAACTGCTGCAATATGCTGTACTTCTGCCTAGGCTCTGGAGTTCAACCCCAGGAACAGAACACAAGAGTTTTCTTGTAGAACACAACTGCTGCAATATGGCATGGCAGGCGAGATGGATGTGGGAATCCAGGCCCCTCAGGGCTTTGTAGATTAACAAACCCCCTTTCTTTGCATTTGGGGGTGGCTTGGGAGCCAGATGACACAAGGTTTGTGATCACATCTGTTTGCCCCACTTAACAGATAGCCAAGCACATTCTGCAGCAGATGGGGCTTTGGAATAGTCTTCAAGGGGACTCTAATGAATCGGTCTCCTCCATATTGCAGTAACACTTGTGACACCCCGCTCTGCAGGACACCCCCTTTGAAGTGGGCACTGTGCTTACACAGAGTAAAGACCATCCCTCCCTGACAGAAGTTCCAATCTAATTAAATAAAAGATATTAAAATAAGTTAGCCTGGAAGAGATGTGGTTCCAGCATGACTCCAAATACCCCCTTTTCAGCAGAAGAAGATGTAATCTCCTTCATTTCATCAAAATGTCCCTCCTCCCTCCCCCCGCCAACAGCACCTAATCTGCATACCGCATAAAGCAGCTAGCTTGGATCCTAATCTGGTCAGATGCAGAGAAAACAAAGGGATCCCATCATCCAGTTCAATGAGAAGGAAAAGCAGACCTGAGTCTTGCCATCCCACTGACAACATGCAGTCCAAGGTGCCTCACCAATTCCCTTTGCAGCACCTTCCCCCCGACTCCTTCCCCACACACAACTGTGGAATAGGAAGCATGACAAGATGGTGAATGGAATAACCAAATCCTGATTAGGGATATGTTCTTCTGAGGAGCCCTACCTAAGCAAGGCCAGATTAAGAAAGTGGTTTTAGGGGTTGCAGCTCAGGGCCTTTGGTTAAGGGGGAGGGTCCCACAAAAACATCTCCTGGCCACCAAAAGTGCAGATCCTTGTGCAGGTCCTGGCAGGGGAGGAGGAATGCACTGCTGTCACAGTCACCCCCTACTCCTGCTGGAGCTGCAAGCACCGGGAAGCTCTGTCCATCACTTCCCTTGTCTGTAGGCTGAGAACTGTGGCCAGTTCTGGGCGAAAGGGGTGGGGTGTCGGTGCTTGCAGGTGAATGCAGGGCAGTTGTGCAGAGTCACCTGCTCCCTCCCTTCCCTGTACTGTAGTCTGTGCTACCAAAGGGAAACTGCCCCAGGTAAGCATCCTACAATCCAACCCCAGCCCTGAGCCCCCTCACACACCCATATTCCTATCCTGACCCCGCAACCCCACCCCAACCTCCTGCCCTGAACCCCCGCACTAAACTCCTTGGCCCCACCTGGAGCTCCCTCCTGATCCCAAATGCCCCATCTCCAGCGCCACCTCAGAGCCTGAACTCTCAGTCAGAGACCTCATCCCAACCGTGCTCCAAACCTCTTGCTTCAATCCACAACTCCTGTACTCTGAACCTTTCATTTTTGGCCACACCCTGGAGCCTAGGAGCCTCTACAAAATCTAATAACCCCAGGCCTCCAGAAGAGTTATTCCAGCCCTGTACCTAAGGTCAGCATTTTCAGCAATGGCCCATGTTTTGTGGGGGGAAGGGTAGGAGGTGCTGCAAAGGATTCTTAGATGATCACTTTGAAACACCTTGGATGTTAGAGGTGCTAAGCATTCAGTATTTCCAAGGAACGGCCTTTAAAATCAAATTCAAGTTATCTTAAATTGGGCACCCAAAAACAGGGACACAAAATCGGTGGCCACTTTTGAAAATGCTGGCTTTAGGCGATGTGTGTTTGGCCAACAATATTCTTAGAAACAAAATAGCAAGGAAGCCACATTAGAACCCTGCTAGCAGCAATCATGATTAAACATAGATATATCTGTGTTCCACTCAGCTCTGGCCTGCTTCACTTATTTTCTACAGCAAATTATACAAGTCAGGTTGAGCAACTGTCCAAGCTGCTGAGCTACCACTGTTGTCCCTTTGACAGTTTCCTGTAAACTGAGCACTTGGGCAGCTGCCCAGAAGAGATTCAGATGCTGCCCAGCTGATTGGCAGATCGCCCACAGCAGCTCACAGTGGGCAACATGTGTGTCTATTGGTGGTGCACATCTGCACAATTTATTTCACCCATGGATGGAAAAAATTAGAGGGAACACTGCTTAGCACAAACCATTTCTGCTATCTAGCTGCATGCTACATTACCTACTGACTTGATCACTGCTAGATTATCCTTGCAAATCATTGATCACTACATGCCCCCACTTGCCTCCTGCATCCCGTATTGCTGCTACAAAGCAGGGCCCTTTATCTTCTAACTAGTTCTGAATCTACTTGAGTAGCTCACCATCACCCGCTACGTAGTCACTTATGGACCTTTTAAATGTGTCTTCCCCCCGGTCTACTGACTCTTACCTCTAGTGATGAGTACATCTTAAGAGTCACAGAGATCTGGCTCTACTATAAGGAGATGGACAGCTGCCCCATATCCCTGTCTGGAGGAAATGCTGGAGTAGACCTTCCTGAGAGACAGTGAGCATGGATTCTTAGAGGAATATTTAAGCATCTTAATTTCCTCCTTCACTCCTGGTTCTAGACCCCTGGCCCAGATTGTGACAAATACTCAGTGGAAAGCTCAAACCAGTCACTGCAGACACAAGATGGATGAGCAAGCGGCTTTTCACAGTCCTCAGCTAAAAACCAACCAAATGGCAGGTTCTTGAGCCCAGCCCAGAATGATGGGAAGATGAGGCTGTGCATGAGTCTCCTTCCTAACACTGGTGAAAGCTTGGAATGAGCAGCCACATGGGCCTGTATTGCATACAATGGGTGGGGAACCTTTTTTGGGTTGGGAGCCGCTGACCCACAGAAAAATCAGTCAGGGGCCACTCACAAGTGAGAAGCCAAAAAACAAAACCAAAAACAAACCCTCACTGATGTGGCCCCAGCTGAGAAGCAGAAAGACACTTTCCATGTTCTTCTCCCACACCAGAGCCTAGGAACGGGGGCCAGCCTAATAGATCGTCTGTGTTCCAGGTCCAAGGTGGGGAAGCGCAGGCTCCTCAATGCTGGCGGGGGGGACTGACCCTGGGAGGCCAGATCCAGGGGCCTGATGTTCATCACCCCGCCATATAAGTTCTGTAGCTCACAGATTAATTATGTCTTCCATTTATGTGGAGAGAGCTCAGGGAGAAGGAAACAGCTTGCTGCCACACCTCCTTACTCCCTCCAGCATGGGAACTGATCTAATTGTTTTCCCTCCCTCTGCAAAACTGGAGAACCCTTCCTACAGCACCGAAGATGTCTTTCCTTTGGCTTGGAGAAGAGAGGGTGCTGCACTGACTCTCCATCTTGCCCTAGGCTGACCCCTGGAACAGACCCAGACCATGCTGCCAGGAACTCTTTCATGGAACTGAAACACAACTGCCTGTGCCCGTGGGAGTCAGAGTGCATTGCCATCAACACACACACACACACGCACACACACAGGTCCACATCACCTCTCCCATGTCCATACACACATGCTCACTCAGCATCCCCCTCCTCCCACTCATCCACCCAGCTGTCTCCATCACACATGCTCGCTCAGCATCCCCCTCCTCCCACTCATCCACCCAGCTGTCTCCATGCATCAGGTGCACACATGTACCACAGACATACATTTACCCATTGCCCCCTCCCAGTTTCTCACAGGCAGGATGCCCACTCCCACACCCACACAGGCAAGCACTCCCAGCCCTCCAGCAGGACTTCAGCCTCCTACTACTCCCCAGCACATGCAGTAAAAGCCCAGGTACTTACATCATCCCATTTGATGAAGCGCTCGCCCTTGGATAGATACTCCTTTACCTCAGGGGGCATCAGGATGGGTGTGAGCATCGACATTCTGTCCCACAGACTGCACCTCAGCCAAAAGAGCAGCCAAAGGTTTCACTCTTTCTTGCCCACCCCCCTTGATCTCTTACTCTCACATGGTGTTCTCTGCCATCACAGCCCTTGGCATCAGGCACCAACAACCTCTTATACCCCAGGGAAACTTAAGGACAGCTGGCACAGACACGCGAGGAGCTCCTCATCTGCATTGTAAATCAGCAGCTCTCCAAACAAGCAGGTGGGTCCCTGCACAGGAGGAGAAGATGAAGCTTATACAAGAGGAAATCCCGAGATGGACTGAGTGAGACACCCGCACGCAGACATTCTAGGAGAGAGCGACTCCTTAGAACTGTGCACTGAAGTACGTTCAGCAGACACTTCCGGACAGAACTTCCTTAATTTTTTTCTTTAGAACAAGTGCAGCCTCTGCCAATGAACCACTCAGCCATTTATCAATTTCAACAGACACCAGCACAAGAACACCAGCGAGCCTAGCCACACATCATCTTGCCCCTTCCACACAATGGAACCATTTACCTGGGTCAAGGAATGCTTTTCTCTCTCAGTGCATATTCTGCCTATATGGCCCTCATTCTGGAGTCATGAACACTTCAAATCTTTAATGGAATTATCCTCATAATATCCCCCCTGTGAAGCAGAGAACTCTTATCCCCATTTTACAGAGAGAGGAATCTGAGACAGATTAGATTTAATCACTTGTCCAAGGTCATACAGGAAAGCTGTGGTTAATCCAGGAATTAAAATCATTCAAGTCCTTAGGAAGACCCTTATTAATTAGAATCTAGATCATGCTTCCTACCTCACTTTCAAGAGCCACTGGTGCAAATCCCAACTTTCTATATCTGCACTAAGGAAACTGCAACATTGCAGTTGCTCTAGCTTCTGGTCACCAGTGGTGGAATCCCAAGCATAGATAAAATCTTGGGGCAGCTCAAGTGAAAGATTCATGAAGAGTTATTAACTTTTCATGCCAATTGGGACCCCAGATTTGAATCCAAAGTATGTGAACTTCATGAGTATGATGCAAACCTGGGCTCAGCGAGGCAACTGTGCTGGAATTATGCTTTGTGTGTCGAGGGGTTTTTTGAATTTTAAGCACAGAGTAAGATTTATAGAACAGATACAAATATCATAGATTAAAACCAAAGGAAAGATCTGCCAGACCCCCTAACAGGCAAAACCACCAAGTTTCTTGTGGCTCCAGGAGAGAGCACTGTGTCTGGGAGATACATAGGAGAGAGGGTAAGGAAGACATGCTCTCTGTTAACTGCAGAAGCTGCTCTCAACAGACTAGAGCACAAGTACATTGACACAATTGTACAAAGGAGCCCCACACCTCCTAACACAGCTGTGTGCACAGAGGCTAGAACTCTATGGGTATGGATTTCAAGCAAGGAGGGGCATCTCCCCGGTACAGGAACACTGGCAGCTGAGAAGACAGGTGCACAGACTGAAATGGATGGGACTGAAGGCATTTAGCCTTTTTTTGAATAAAATATATGGCAGGTTTACTGCAGCCCAACCCCCATCTAACAGAATTTCCATATGTGAGCTGGGATTTCATAACAGTTCCCTTCTATGAAAATCAAGCTGTAGCAATTGTGGTTGTGATCTGCACTCAGCACAGCCATTGTTCATGGAGGGCATGAGAGAAGAATATAAAAGGAAATAATATTTCTCTGAAAAGGATAAATTACAAAAATGGGCAGTATGCCAAGGGGTCACTCCTGTTAGTCATAGAGGCAGCCTGAGCATTTTGAAGTGGGCCTGTCACAAATTTTTCGCCCCCACCCTCCCAAACCTAATCTGCTTATCCTGCCACTATGTGCATGGCCAGCCAAAGACTCTGGGGGAGACCAGCCAGATGTTTGTGTGGGTCAGTCTCACGCTTTGCTGATTCATTTTTTCTGCAAACTGCTAGGTGCCATTAACTCGAGCTTCTGCTACAATGAAAAGCAAGGATGGGAGCCATATGCAGATGAGTTACATTTTAGCTGTAAATATTGCTTTTCAAACAATGCTTTAATTAATTTGATTAATTAACTAACTAAGAGGCTTGATATCATCCCCATTATACAGCTGAGGAAACTAAGGCAGGGAAATGATGGGACTTGCCAGAGCTATAAGAAATCCTCCCAGTTAGAGCTGGGATTATAGCCCAGCAGTCCCTCCCTTCTGGCCCAATAACTAGCCCACTCGGTCCGGCATGTTTCTAAGCTTCTCCCACAAATTCAGGGCTCACACTAGCTAACCAAGTATTCAGGGCTCACACTAGCTGCTCAGCTTCAGGCAGCCACATGGGAAGCAGCTTGTGATGTTCCTAGCCCCACTGGTGACAGTTTTGGCAGTGCTTCCTTTCCCAGCATAGTGTCATCCTTTCTCAAATCAAGGCACCAGTGTCTGCACAGATCCCAAAGACCAAAATGGGTTGAATACAAGGGACATCCTTAACAACATGGGACTTGTAGAGCAAATCACAGTAACAAATATTCAGGACTAATGACTTGGGTTACATTTTCAAAGCTATTTTTGCAAGAGGCTAACACAGGATCAGATCTTTAGGTCCTGGTCAACTGTGCTCAGCAGGACGTTCCCCTGATCAACTGCATAAGTCAGAGCAGTTCCTAAGGGGCATTTTACCTGATCAGAGCATCTGGAGTACAGTGTGTTGTGATGGAGGGTCTATAAGAGGTGGGATTCCCTGACACTCCCTGCCACCTGCCCCTTGTGCTGTAGGAGTATTAAAGTGCTAGAGGAAAGGGATAAATTTTGACTATCTGATCCTTTGAAAAAAGGAAAGCAGAGATTAGCTTTGCCACCTACAGGCAGTGAAAAGCTGGAGGCTTGCAGCTTGGGCCCTTGAGGATACTAAAGGCTAGGGATGTAAGTGACTGGTTGAGTCACTACTTGACTAGTCACTTCTTCCCCCGTCTCACTGCCTCTATCAGAGGCAGCAAAAGGGGGAGCAGAAGTCGGTGCTAGGGGGAGCCAGCTTAAAAGCTTGTTCCCCCCAGCACCATCTCCATGAGGTGGGGAGGGGGCAGGAGAGGCAGAGGCGCAGCAGAGGACCAGGGACAATCCAGGACTCAGCTGTCTTGGCTCGCACTTGGTCCCAGATGAGGCACCTCTGCCTTTTAAATGTAGTAAGAGTCGAGCGGTTCTTAGTACATTTAAAAGGCAGAGCCACAGTGGGTTCTGCACTCTGCCTCTTAAATGTAGTAACAACTCTTATGACATTTAAAAGGCAGAGCCATAGCGAGGTTAGTTCCTGGGGCCGGGAGCTAACCCCATTGCACCTCTGCAGTTTCCCCTCTTATCAACTAATCAAACCTCTGCAGTTTTCCCTCTTATCAACTAATCAAGTAGTCAATGGAAATTCCAGCAACTACTCAATTAGCTGATAAAACACAATTTAACGTCCTTACTAAAGGCCAGCTCCAATTTTTCATTCTATTCATAGTTCCAGCAACCCTATGTCCTGTGAAGTGAGGGCACCACAGACATTTCCATCCCCCACACACTTAGCCCTAAAGATTTGGCTGCTTTCCCTGTGTCCTGTCAATGTGCCACTCTCCCCTGAGTCTAGTGAGAGCACCCTATCCTGTTGCCAGCCAGCTATCTCCATTCCCCCCAAACACCCTGCCCAGAGCATCTCCTCTCTTTCACAGAGCTATGCCTGTTCCCAACATAATGCCTACTATTGATTAGCTTGCTTTTCCATAGTGTTTCAGTTTTCCTTGATGAATACAAACGTGACTGTATTAGAAACAATCCTAAGAGGATGTGTATGTTTCAGCTCTCCAACCTGCTTTCTGCTAAAATCCCCATATGTGTGAAGATGACCAGAAACTCTAGTCGCACTTCCTCTTGCAAAACCCAAATCTTATCTTTAGTTTCACACTCCCTGTTGTACATGGAGGTTTCCTTCCTTCTGCATGAAAACATGGCTGATGGATCAGGAGCAAACAAAAGCAAAAGGCCTGTTTCAACAGCTCAATAGTAGTTCCTCGAGCATAATTTATTCCTATCTTTTTTTCTTCTGTTATGGTTCAGAGAGCATGTTTGTGTAAGGTGCACCTGCAGTGGCTGCAAAATAAAAAGCTAAAGAAGGAACTCTAGTTCAAGTCTCAATCTCTGACTTTCTGGGCTAACTCTTGGGGTGTAGATGCATTGGTAGAATGACACATTCTGCTCCCATCAGACTGTGTCTTGTCTCCTTTTGTGGAGACTCCTGATAAGGGGCAGTACAGGTAAATGCTTGGGGGAGAGATCTGAATAGGCTGGTGGTGGGAGGTCTGAATAGGCAGGTAGAAGGTCCTGATTTTGAGAGGGTGCCCCAGTGTCTCAGTTACTGGAAACCAGCTGTGGAGAAAGGGAGGAGAGAACTAGGATAAAGAGATGTTATAGGAAATGTGAAAGAGAAGGAGGGAGCATTTAAAAAAATCTTTCTAGTCTGGGGCAGCACCAATTTGAAGAGAGCTTAGCTCAAATAAGGAACAACAGATTAAGGGCTTGTCCACACTACAGAGGCTACAGTAATCCCATAGCGAAGGAAATATTTCTTTACACTACACCCAGTCAACCATTAAACTCTTTGTCAGAGGATGTTATGAAGGCCAAGATTTTGACAGGATTAAAAAAGAACTAGATAAATTCATGGAGGATAGGTCCCTTCGTGACTATTAGCCAGGATGAGCAGGGATGGTGTCCCTAGCCTCTGTTTGCCAGAAGCTGACATTGGGCCACAGAGAATGGATCACTTGATGATGAGCTGTTATCATAGAACTATACGATGACCTCAGAAGGTCATCAAGTCCAGCCCCCTGCTCTAGGCAGGACAATCCCAACTAAATCAACCCAGCCAGGGCTTTGTCAAGCTGAGACTTAAACACCTCTAGGGATAGAGACTCCATTACTTCCCTAGGTAACCCATTCCAGTGCTTCACCACTCTCCTAGTGAAAGTTTTTCCTAATATCCAACCTGGACCTCTCCCACCACAACTTGAGACTATTGCTCCTTGTCCTGCCATCTGT